TGCATCAGTTATATAAGAACCCAAATCCTCATGTAAATCAGTGTGTTCATGGTTGTTAATTCTAACAAACTCAACTAGTGATCGCAACAAGATACTGAACAAGGATAGTTTTTCCACTAGATGTGGGCCCCTGGAAACTCTAAATTGAAGCTGGAAACATCATCACCCACTATCATCATGGAAGCAGTGGACGGAGGTGGCTGTCACCACCGTTACAGAAGAAATCAAAGGAATATCGAAATTAAGGTACCTTTAATGAAGGATCCAATCTCAATCAGAGGGTTGAACAATCGACGGTGTTGTGATTGTCATTGAGGACACATGATGATGGGTCTCTGGTGTGTGGTTCAACGATTGTGCAAAAATAACAATCATTCTTCCCCTTTTTTATTTGCAGGTTCGAGATTATGAATGATGGCGATGATGATCATGGGTGCAAAGACGATTATTGATGGGGATCGGTGGAAGTGGTGAGGCGTTGTTGTAAATCGAGGGGGTGGTCGTCGGTGGAAGTTTTTTTTATGGTGGAATAGAGTTTTTGATAGTGAAAGGTCGTATATAAGAATGAGAAGAATTTTGTCAAAGTCAAAATAACTAACATAATTATAGGAAGTATGTGTAGAATTTATTTATAAAACTACTTTATTACCCTTATTTATTTAATTAATTATTTTTTTTTTAATTTTGATTGACACATATTTATGCATAAAATCACACAATAATTATTTTGAACACTTATATATATATATATATATATATATATATATATATATATATATATATATATATATATCCTAATTCTAATAAATAAGTAGAACTCGGCCACGTGACATTCTCCCAACTCCCCAAAATAGAGTTTTCCCGCTCATTTTTTCTTCTATATTTACGTAAATGCCATTGAATCCGGAAATTGAATAAAAGTTCAAACTGATGCAATATATCAGGAAATTTTAGCTGTCAACTGCATTCAAAATATTCATGCATTAATTTTAAATGAATAAAGATTATGGAAATAATTTGAAAAAATATGTTAATGTATAATCAGATTCGAAAATCACGATTAAATTTGAAAGTTTGTTTATTTTGATTGCAAATTCAATATATTGCAATCATTAAATCCCTAAAAATCTGCAGTATTTTTCAGCAAACGTAAATATCATTTATACGGTTATTTTGTTTTTACCATTCTGCTCCATAGAAACCACAGCAAACGTATTCTTCTTCATTCTTTGTGATTCTGCAACGCTTCAAGAATTAAATATCAGGTTAGTGTATTCAAAAATCAGAATTACAAATATTTCTATTTCCTCCATGTTCTTATTTATCTGTATCTATCACGTTCTCATTGTATGATTTCTATTCTTCTTCTTTTTTGTAATTCTTCTTAATCGTCTACTTCTTCTACCTTTTCAGTTTAAAAGACTAAAAACTAATGAACATTACAAGTTCATTTTCTTTAAAAAAAATTAAAAATAGTCTTTTTCAGATGTGCACAGTAACTTTTGTTTTGATGGTATGAAATTTTAAAATTTGTTTGTTTTTATCTAAATACAATCTCAAAAAAATTTAGAATTTAAAAATTTATGAGTATATTACTTCAGTTGTTATTGTCATGTGTTGATTTTTAATTTTTCTGTTTTACTCATTGTTATGTTATCTGTTAGTGTTAGTATGTTGCAGGGGCATTTTCGGTATAATTGTCGTTTTCATGTTTATTATATATTTGTGTTCCATCTTATTATATAAACTTTTATTCAATCTAAAACATTATTTCATATGAATTATTTGTTTTTGTTTGTATTCCATTTTATTATAAAATGAATTATTCAATTTAAAAATTTATGAGTACATTAAGTCAGTTGTTATTGTCATGTGTTGATTTATTTTTTCTGTTTTACTTATTGGTTAGGATGTTCTGTACATTTTAAAAGGTTGCTAATTTTCCTTACAATTCTATAATGATTAAATTTATTGCAGAAAATGGAAATAGGAAATAAGGTTTACCTAAATAACATTGACCAGATAGATGAAAAATCGCATATCAAGGTTCGGGTGCTTAAAATTTGGAACTTTGTCAGAAATAATAAAGTTTGTTCATTGAAATGATCATCATGGGAGGAGGTTTGTTGTATTTGATATATTTTTTATTCATCATTCAATATTAGACATGTTTCATGAACATAATAATTTTTTTTTTAAACAGGGTACACAATACCAAGCTCGTGTCTTCAATCGGAATTTCTCCAGATTTCGTCATCTTTTAAAGAAAGATGAAAGTTATATAGTTATAAAACCCAATATGGCTGCTGTTACTAATGGTTTTAGTTATACAGGTCATAAACAGACCTTAACTTTGGATTGGAAAAGCATCCTAAAAAAATGTGATGATTTCTCGGGTCCGGTCAATGGATTTATGTTTGTTGACTTTAATTTTATCATAGAACAAACATGCCCAAAAGACACATTCTTTGGTTAGTCATAAAATATTAATAAAATCATTTTTTATCATTTGTTTTTTTGGTTATACATTTTATTATTTAAATATTACGAATTTAATCCTAAACTTTTTTTTTGTGGTATCTGTTGTGTAGATGTTATTGGACATATCGTGTCATTTAGGCCTCTTGAAACTTCAAATCCAGTACCATCCAAGCATTATATAAAAGTCACTCTTAGCAACCTAGAGTGAGATTATATTGTATTATTTATTTATGATTTATTATCTTTAATTAATCACAAATTAATATTAATATACTATTTTATGGTTTATTTAGTTCTGTACATCTGAAGGTTACTATTTTTGGAAGTCAAGCATATCAAATTTCAGAATACCTAAAAAATAACCCGAAGGTTAATTTTGTTGTTATCGTGATGCAGTTTTTGAAGCTAAACATTTGGAATGGTTTGTATTCAGTCTTTATATATAGATGTTTATAATTATTGTTTTTATATAATTTTTATTAATTGGATATACATTTTTTACAGGTCTTGGTGAGGCTAAAAGTCATTTTGAAGTAACGAAATTGTTCATAAATTCTGACATTTATGAAATAAATGAGTTTAAAAATAAGTTAGTTTCCAATTGTTTATTATTTTTTATAATGTATTTTAACTTAAAAACACAAAACCTAATATTCATGAATCTAAATTAAACATTACAGGTTGAAATGTCATGACAATTTCGGTATAACTGAAAAAAGCATAACTACACTTCAAAGCTACTCTTCTTCATATACAGATGACTTTAAGGGCAATTTTCCATTAAAAGCAGTCTGTGAGATCACCGAACCAATTAAGGTATATTGCATTATTTGATATGTTTTACATTTTATTTTTGCATAATTTATTTTAATAATTTTTACATTTGATATGATACAGGAAATGAAGTTTTTATTAGTTGCTTCCATTGTTAATATAAGGCAGAATCTACCATGGTATTATGAAGCATGCAAAAAATGTGGAAAAAAAATTATCCCTGTTCCCAAAACCAATCATTCGTATACCAACCCTGAGGGAATTTCAGAAACTATGGTTGTCGAGTGTACAAATGCACAATGCAAAAAATCTGAATTTCAGTCAGTTATAAAGTATAGACATATTTATTTCTATTAATTTTGTCAATCTTAAAACAACACTAACAATGACATAATTTTTTTTGTTTTAGGTATATAATTCCAATTAACGTACAAGATTGTACTGGAACCATTGGATTGACTCTTTTTGATAGGGAAGCAAGGAGGTTGTTAAATATAAGTGCCTACGAGTTGAAAAAGATACATGATGCGGTATATTATTCATACCTTTAAAATCAGAAAACATTTACTTAATTTTTTTAATTTATTAAAATATATCTTACAGGCCGGAGACAGTGATGCCCTATTTCCAATGCAACTTAACGTGTTGAAAAACCGCAAGTTTGGTTTTGTTGTAGATATTACAGAATACAATGTCAACAACTATAATAACATCTACACAGTTCTCAGAGTTACAGAAGATATGTCCATTGTTTCTGAATTGGAAAGTAAAATAGAACTTATGGTATGTAATTTTTTATTGTTGAAAATTTACAATTCTTTAATGTTAAAGTACATAACGATTAACATATTTCCATTTTATTTTTTTGAGTATTCAATCTGTCTCCTTAAATCAAGTTGCTTTGGAATCCGATGATGTTGTACAGCCTGTTCAAAAGGTTTTTCATTTTATTTTATAAACTTTTAATTATATTAGTTATTTTTTTTAGGAATTAAACAATTTTTTTTTAAATTAGGATGTGATCTCACAAACAGACGAAAGTTTTACACCCTCAACAGTTGATAAGTCAACCGCAACAAGTCCAAGCAAAATATCAGGTGATTTGAAGCGCAACCTCCAAGAAATTTATGATGTTGATTCTGGATATGATTTAAGTTCAACTAAGGCTAAAAGAAAAGTCAACCGCAGAGGAAACTCCACTCTTGATTCCAAAAATTGAAAAGTGAGTTTCTATCGGTTATAAGACACATCTAATATATTTTGATCATTTGTTTTGGTTATAAAGATATTTTGATTGCTTGGTATGATTTTTATTTTAGGGCATTTAGGATGTCAAATATTATTGGTTTTGAATATTTTTGGATACTTTTATTGTTTTAAATTGGACAAGTTAGTTGATTTTGGTTATAACTCAAATAAAATATATTTGAAGTTTATTTGCTTGTAAAATTTTTTTTAATTTTTTCTTAATATTTTAAATTTTTGGCCGATATTGCATATGTGGTTATTATTGTTCAAATGTTAAAGCTATCTTGAGCTTGATACTTTGATACTTTTACAGGTGAAATTATATTGTGATTGAGGGTGCTTAATTTGTGCTTTATCTAATTTGTATTAAAAAAAATGAAAACTTTGTTGGTATTCCTCTTAAACTAAAAAATAACTACTCAATAGTCAATACTACAACATTTTACTTTCATTGGTTTCCCTTTAACCAGTAAAAATCATTATTATGTTATTTTTTTAGAATGGAACATTCCCTTAAAACGACTGTTTACTTGATGATTTTTTTCATCATATTGATGAATCCTACTTTTTTTCATTTGTTACCATTTAAATCTTATGGTTATACCATTGTACTTTAAAATGTTTTTTGGTTTAATATTAATGGAACATTCCGTTAATGACAATGTACTTTCATTGGTTTCTATGTAACCTCTAAACATCATAAACTAGAGGGGGGAGCCCCCGCGATGTGGGGGTCGGATGAAACCTTTTTGGTTTGTTGTTTTCTCTATGTTGAGGAGATAAAGCAGATGCAAATGTGAATACATACATAATTGGTTTTTCTTATCTATATTTATGTTGAAGAGAGTTGGTAATGTGACAAAATTATCACTTTATGTTGAAAAGCAAAAGGTACGGTTTAGTACCTGACAACGGAATAGACAATTTCCAGGATAATAAAACTTCATAAACGTGCTTGACATGTGGTTTATTCTGTGTTTGCATTACGTTTTATATATGGAATGACAAAATAGACATAAACGATAGATTATATTTTTTAAAGGTGAATACAAGGCTTAACCATGCATCTGTTCATAAGCATAGTATCAAAAGAGAAAACGATTTAAAGAGACCATGGATAATAAGATGACAAAAGAGTTGGAGATTTTTTTGTTTTGTATCACTCCATATATGGTTGATCATCTTCTGGAAGTGTTTTGAGTATTTTCCTGAGCTCCTGGATGGTCGTTTCAGTTTCCTTCTTTAGACTGTAAATCGCCATGATTCTTTTTGATGCCACGTACGTACTGTTGTTGATGACTTCCTTCATATCTAGGTAGTTGATGACTTCCTTCAAGTTGAATATTTAAGTTCAGACTGCATATGTGAATCCGAATTTCTCCATGATCAATTTGATGCAAATCTATACTCTCCTAATGTATTAAATGGACTCAAAGTATCCGGTTTACCAAATCATAAATTAGTTTTAAAAATTGGTGTTCCAGTAATGTTACTGAGAAATATTGATCAGAAAAACGGCTTATGTAATGGCACAAGACTACAGGTGTTATCATTGGGAAAACGTGTTATTGAGGCACGTATAATAACTGGAACTAATATTGGAAATCGGACTTTTATTCCAAGAATGTCTTTAACTCCATCAGAAAAAAAGATTCCCTTCAAATTCACAAGAAGACAGTTTCCTTTGGCTGTATGTTTTGCAATGACTATTAACAAAAGTCAAGGACAATCGTTGTCAAAGGTTGGTTTGTTTCTGAAAGATCCAGTTTTTTCACATGGACAATTGTATGTTGCCTTATCTAGAGTTCAGAGCAGAGAGGGATTAAAATTATTAATTTTAGATAAAGATGGCAAACTCACAAATAAAACTTCCAATGTTGTTTATAAGGAAGTTTTTCGAAATTTGTAACCAACTTTTTTGTAACGTCGTTTTATTCAATTTTAGCAAATCACACTCCATCATATTACTGTATTTTTTTATAATTATGTATTGTTGTATTTTATGTTAATTTCATTACACACATTGGTATTGTATCATCTGCATATGTCCAATAAGAATGATGAATAAAAAAAATAGTTTTCAAAAATCTTCATTCCTAATTAAATACTTCCCATTTAGTTAGTAATTAAATAATTACCAATAAAAAAATTATTTAAATATTCAATATTACAATTTATAAGTTATCAGAATTATTGATATAATATTTTATTAAATAATTAATTTTTAAATTCAATTCAAAAACAGCACCCGTGGGTTCCACGGGTTTTAACCTAGTATATATATATATATATTATATATATATATATATATATATATATATATATATATATATATATATATATATATATATATATATATATATATAGGGAAAAGTGAATATACCTTAAGGGTATATAAGCTTAGGTACTCAAACCTACAATACTACATCGTTTTGTATCATATATATACATTGTAATTGTCCAATGTTATTATAATTCAACTTCTAACTTGATTTATTTCCAAAAAATTTATAAATTTCATATTTATATTCCTCTTACATAATTTTCATTTTCATCTATAATATATGTAGCCTACTAAGTGTTCGTAAAAATGATGTGATGTAAGTGGAAGATAATAGTGAAGTTTCAAAAATCTTGAAAATAAATCAAGTTAAGGGTTGAAGTTTAAGAACATTATAATGAATATTTCAAATAAAACAATATATCATAGTGGGTTTGGGTACCTAAGCTTATATACCTTAAGGGTATATTCACTTTTCCCATATATGTATATATATATATATATATATATATATATATATATATATATATATATATATATGGTTATGTTATTTTCTGATGGGTTTTAGCCACAAGAACTTCCTATGTGCGCATGCAAAACCCTAATGCTTGGATCTAGGCTTTCTAATTAAACATGCTTTGAATCCAAGACTTCTAATGACTATTTAGATGTAATAACAATATTGAAACAGATCTAGGAATCATACCTTTGAATTC